CAGTGCCCTCATCTCCCTGCACATGCTCCCTGCCAGTACGTGCCGCAGGTGTCCACCTCCCTGCCTTCCTGGCTTTGCACTTGCCGTTCCACCCGGAGGGCCTGCTCCTCTGCCCCAAGTCCAGCCGACTCCTGACCGCCCCACGAGCCTCAGCCGTGGTCCTTCCCTGCCAGCGGTGGTCGCCGGCACGGAAGCCCCCGCAGTGCTGGGGCCTGCTGGGATTGTGGTGCCCTCCTGTTTCCACAACAGAATTGTGGATCCTGTTGTCTGTTGGAGTGTTCCCCGTGTCGCCTCCCCTCTCCGCCAAGGATGAGAGCAGGGACCATGTCTGGGACATTTCTGTGCTCCCTGTCCTGGCACGGCAGCTACAAGCTTGTGTGTGAGATACATTTGTGTTGGAAATGGAAAAAGTACCACTATACCCATTTCACAGAGTAGAAAACTGAGGCCCACAGATGTGTGATTTATACCCGTAGTAACAGAACTTCTGAATTGGTCTCCTCGTGGCTCAAAAACAAATTGAATAGAATGGAACATTAGACTGCAAATCAATGTTTGGTGTCACACAGAACCCTAAAGGGCAGTTTCTCTTTCTGTCTCTGACCCAATGAAGCTCTGGTCCTGGGTGGAGTCATGGAAAGGCAGCATCCTTGCCTTTCTCGGGACTCTCCAGTGTCCTGGGTCCACAAAGGCCTTCCCGTTTTCAGCCACTGAGCACCCATGACCGGCACACCCGGGCGTGTTGCCTGGCTCCTTTCACTTGAGCCTGGGAATGCCAAGGCCAGACATCACATGTGGAGGCTGGGAAGTTGGGGAGCAGTGGCCCCTGTGTCCCAGTCTGACTGGACATCCCCTCAGAGGCCTGGGCTCCCCCAGTGGGCCGTAGAGAGACTCTGGGCCCAGGCCAGCCCAGCGCCCAGCTGACAGTCCTCCTGGCCGGTGGGCTCAGAGCTGGGGCTTCAGGGACAAGGCTGGGCACTGGGGAACAGCGGCCAGGATGCCAGACCGGTCCCTCCATCAGACAGCTTTGTCTGGGTCCAGCTCTGCGGCCTCCGTGAGGGCTGGGTGGTCCTGGGCCCTCGGATCGCCACCCCACCACCACCCCCCGCCCCGCCCATGGAGGGAAGCGGGTTTCCTTACTCTCCTGCCCCAGATAGCTCGGGGCGGCCTTCTGGGCCATCAGCTCGGGGCCCTGTGTAAACTCAGCTCAAGCTGCCAAGTCTCAGGATAAATATTTGTATGGAGGCCGAAATAGCTCCTCAGGCAGGCTCTTTGTGGTGGGTGAAGCCGTTTTGGAGGGGGTAGCAGGGTCACTGCACCTGGGCCCAAGTCCTCCTGGGCGACAGCGCACGTGGCCTGTGTGCCCTCAGGTTGGTCATCTGCCGGAGTGACACCTGCCTCAGAAGCTGTCAGAGGGTGAAGTGAAAGAGCTCCCAGAAATAACGGTGTCGGGCACCTGGGGCGGACCTAGAGGCCTAGGCTTTATCCCGCTGGCCCATGAACACTCGCTGGGTCACAGGAGGGGGAGACAGACGGTAAACAGCGAAGGTGGCCTAGACATGATCAGGGACATTCCGAGACAGAGGACGGAGGGGTGGAGGGGACCCCGGAGGGACAGTGCTCCAGGGGCCTCAGGCAGAGGGACCCGCCACCAGGTGCATTGTGTGCTGGGGACCAGCAGGGTCCTCGGGTCTGAGGGGAGTGGGTGTGGCAGGGAGCAGGCAGGTGCCTAGGCTGTGCCCTGAGGGCCTCGGGGCAGGGCAGGGCAGGGCAGGGAAGGGGTCGAGTAGGGTCACGTAGGGCTGTGGTCAGTGGAACAGGGGAGGGGTGGGCAGCTGGAGACCTGGGGCAGGTGGGAGCTGGGGGCAGGGGCCGGACGGGCCTGGGAGAAGCCCCTGGTGCTCACGCCTCTGCCCGCCACCCCCTCCCTGGCCAGGTGCACCTGATGAAGCCAGACGCAGTCCCCAAGGCGTGCTGCGCGCCCACCAAGCTGAGCGCCACCTCCGTGCTCTACTACGACAGCAGCAACAACGTCATCCTGCGCAAACACCGCAACATGGTGGTCAAGGCCTGTGGCTGCCACTGAGGCCCCGCCCCGGCCACTGCAGCGCCTCTCAGCCGGACCAGCCCCTCTCCAGAGGCCGAGACCCTCAAATGCCACTGTAGCTCTGGTGGGGTGGAAGGTAGGGCTCCGGTGTCTCTGCTCACATACCGACAGCATCTGATTGGTCCTCTCCAGGCACCCCGCCCCTTCCCCGGTGTCTGTGGTTTGTCCCACCCCATCCGTAGGGTGTGCTGGCTGTGCTGGCAGCACTCAGCACAGAAGGTCTAGCTTAGGACCTGTCCTTGGCCATCCTGGCCCGTCCTGTGGGCAGCCCATGCCGGTCTGAAGAGAACCTGGATGCCTAGGCTGGTTGGTTGGCTTTGCATCACTCACCACAGGGTTCAGGTGCGGGAGCGGAGTCTGCCCCTCCCTGGGGCAACACTGGGCATTTCCCGAGCTTAGTCAGACACACACATGCCTTCAGGACGGCGTCTTACTGGGCTCCTGACTTGGCCCGCCAGAAGCTAGCACATTAGGAAAAGAACCGGCTGGATGGCTTCATGCCCGGGGCCCGCCCTCCCCCTGCCTGGGAAGAGGTGGAACCACTGGGGCTCGGCACTGAGACAGAGGCGACTCTTGGCAGAAGCAAGGGCAGAAGGTGTGGAGGGTGGTCCTGCAGACCCGCAGCACAGGGTCACCACCGCCCAGCCTCTTGCCCCCGGCCATCGGTAACCACTTGGGTGCTTTTCCCGGTAAACCCGACAGGGTCGTGAGACCTTCAACACAAAACTTTCGCAGGCACCAGCTGTTCAGGTTGAAATTAACTGGTTTCCTGCCCCTCCCACACTAAGGGGCAATCCGTCCCACCAGAGCAGAGTGCTGGGCCACCTCTGGCCAGGCACGGGCAAGGGTGGCCACTGTCAATGTCCCCTAGAGTCTAGAAAGTAAGAATAGATGGGCCACCCTATGTGCCCAAGTCCTGTCCTGTTTCTTAGAGCCTCTCAGCCTAAAGAAAAGGCCCCTGTCCCAGGGGAGTGACAGGCAGTAATTAGGATGAGCTGGGTGGGGAGGTTCCCGGAAACCACTGTTCTTCTCGGAGCAGCAGAGGTGGTTGGGGTGTTTGATTTCTGACTTGCTAAACCTGTGATTTACCTGCTGGACCAGACAGAGTCCAGCTGCCCGAACCCTGAAATACTGTGTCTTTAATAGCAGACCCTGGGCCCGCCCTAACCCACAGGCATGGCCCACAGAGGCAGAATGACCTGTGTGTGCAAGGACACACATCCCTGGGGTTCACTCTGCACCCTGAGGACAGGCTCCGGGAGAGCAGGCCTGGAGCAGGGGGAGCCGGAGGCTGGGGCCATGCTGCAGGACAGCGGCCTCCACACCTGGACCTGGGAGGGGTGCTGGGAGTGCAGAGAAGACAGCCTCCGTGTGTGCACAGAGGACGGGCCCAGAATGCCTAGGAGATGGGGAATCCCGTTAGCCTGGGGCTTTGAGCTCAGGCTGGCAGGGATTGGACCGGGCACCGGCGGGAATGTTAGGAACACGCACTCTGGTTTCAGCTCAGCCACTGACCTGCTTGCTGTCTAGCCGAGGCTGCTTGCTGGCCCAGCCTTCAGTTTCCATCTGTGACGCGCACACACAGGACTCCCTCATCTCCAGAGGCCGTATGAGCCAGAGGCTGTGCCGCCCGATGCTTCCCTCAGAGCCCAGTGCCCAGCCGCTGCAGGGCGTGAAACCTGCCATTTCAGGACCTCACTCAACAGCCCTCTTCCGCCAGCATCAGGAAACTCCCAATAGCCGTCAGTGTTTCTCTCTCCCACGCCCGGCAGGTAAACGGCATGGTTTGGGGGTACCAGGAAAGGGTGTGAAATGAGTGTTTTAAGGATGCAGACTGCCCCGCCCACTGGTGGGCGGTAAAGCTGAAAGTACAGCAGTGTTGGCCTTCCGGAGACTTCCAGCACCTCCAGCCACCCTGGCGGCCACAGTACGAAACCCAGCAGGAAAGGCCCGGAGAAAGGAGAGCCTCACGGTCACAAAGCCCACGAAGCGGCGGTGTGCAGTCCCCAAGGCCGCCTCATTTATCCGGTTGCCCCGGCAGCCCAGGTTACATTCAAGGCTGCGCAGCAGAAGTATGAATAAGGGCGGTCGACCCAGGGCCACCGACAGCCAAGTAAACGCCGACATGAAGGGAGGGCGCAAAGCCGTTCAGCGGGCAGCCAACTGCTCTGTCCTCAGCAGCCTCACCACACTTCACGGGCAGACATGGCCCTGGCCCTGATGCCGGCTCATCGGTTCATCGGGCAAAGCCCTATGCTGCTGTCTCTGCAGGAAGGGAAGTGGGTAATACGCTCCAAGAAATTCCCTACGAATTCACAGGGGAGGAGGCTGTGACCAGGAGCGAGCGAGCGGGCTTTACAGCCGGCAGACCTGGCACTGAGTCCTGGCTCTGCCTCTTGTTGATTTGACTGTGTGACATAACCTGACTTAGAAGGCCCTGCCCATGTAGAAAGGGGTATTGCTTCCGCCCTTGCAAGGCCAAGATGGGGATCAAGTCTGTCCACAGAGCACTTGGCGCTGTGTCTGAACTTGTGTGGAATGAGTAGCAGCTATCAGTGACTGCACTTTGAAACAGTTTGCAAATGCGGCCGCCTCCTGTGCGGTGGCTGGTGTGACCGGCAGGGGGCGCCACTCATGGGAAGCTGAAGGGAGAAACTCTGGAGCTTCTCTTCTTCCTGGGAGCCTTGAGCAACCATTTGACTCTGTTTTTTCCTCACTTAAGAAAATTACATGTATGGTGCAGGAATGTTTGAAAATAAAAAACCAAACAGACACGCATAACCCCACCAGAGACAGAACCACTGTTAATGATTCCTTCGGGCTCTTTTCTCGGCGAACGAGTCTTTATACACAACACGTGGGGATCTGACAGAGTTAGGGCCACACTCTGCACTGCTTGGTGATCTTATTCCATTTATTCTGAAAATCTGTTATTAAACAATCTTTGAAAACAACTTGTAGCAGCATTCCATGCCTGGACTTCTGTCTCAGTGTCTCACTTACAAACCAGGTCCCCCATTCCTTTCCCGAGGGTGCTGCAGTACCCCAAGACCCTACCATCTGAGCCCCACCCAACACCTGTGCCAACACCAGAGGCCACTAGCCTGGACTGCCTGGGCCTGGCACCTCCCCCCCGAGTCTCAGGTCACCACCGGTACAAGGGTCATGGGTGGACGCAGGGGCAAGGTCAGGGGAAGCCCTTGCCCAGCACAGTGAGTGATCGTCACCCTGTGCCCCCTACCCAGCGGCCTCCTGGCCAGTCTGCTGGCCCTACGCTCCCAGGGCGACCAGAGAAGGACAGTGACAAGGTCCCCCCACAACCTCTCCCCTTGTTTCACAGCGTTGTGAGACCAGCACCCCCCCTCCCCCCGGGGCCTCCGGCCAGCCTGCTTGTCCCTGCGTGTTGCATACAGACCGGCCACGCTCGGTGCTTTGCACACATCCTCTTCTCCCTTGGACCTCACACTGGCCCCAAATGGCTGCCTTTTCCCTGGCCTCCCTGCTGCCCGTCCTGATAGCCCTGACTGATCCCCGTGAGAGGGACACGTAGGTTAAAAAGCGAGGGTCTCTGCTGGGGAGAAGCCCCACCTGAAGCCCACCCCTGATGCTGGCACCGGCCCCTCTGCAGGAGCTGGCCAGGATCACTGGGCCCCAGGCCAGCAGGCTCCTCCCCTCCACTCCCCTCCGGGCTCAACCTGACCTCACCCCCACTCGAGAACCAGCCATGCCCAGCCCAGCGGTTTCTAAACGTGGAGGTTTGATTCCGAGCTACCGGTGGGGAGCGGGCGGCCATGCTGGAGGTGGTTTCTGGGGACCGATGGTTTCGGGTGCTCAGCCTCAGCACGCGAGAAACGCTGTGAGGTGACTCGGAGCCAGCAGGGTGAGGGCAGAAACAGAGTCTGGTTAACCCAATTCACGCATCTGGTACCGGGAACGAGAGAGGACAGAGGTGCTTCTGTATCTGCTCTGACCTCCTCGGCTCCACAGTGGCCCGCGTGGTGTGCTCTCAGGACGGCCAGGGAAGGGCAAGCAGCAGGGGAGGACCTCCGGCCTTTCCCAGCGGGCAGCAGTGCAGGATCCGGGGTTTTCTTTATCAGAGGAAACGTCCAGCAGCCACACCGGTGGGCCGAGGAGAGGCCCTGGCGGCAAAGGCCTACGAAGGCCACGCCCAGCCACCCGCGGCGGGGATGGGGGCCCCTGTGCCGGCTCCCGGGCCACCGCTACGCTTGGGAAAGAGCCAGGGGAAGCCCAGGCCGGCCTGCAGGGGAGCTGCTCCACGCTGACCCTGAGAAGGGCCAGGTCATGGACCCCTGCTTAACATGTGCTGGATCCCCGGGGCGAACGAATTCCGGACCCACAGGCGCAGCGCAGGGAAAGCGCCTCTCACACGTACTCCCCGCAGTCGGAGATGATCACCTTCTCCTTCGGCTTCCCGTCCTTGCTGCCCTGGGCCTTTGTGGGCGGAACAGGAGACGAGAAAGCATGCAGGGAAGGGGAAGATTAAAGGGGGTCTCGGGGACACCTAGCCCACCTCCCACTCCCAGCCTGAGCACCCGCAGTCTCCTCCGAGAGCCGCCGCACCCCTCCCTCCAGGCCGCAGGGCGCGCTCTCGCTGCCCCTCGGGGCGTCAGTCACCCACCTCGATCTTTCGCAGGACATCCAGGCCTTCCGTGATCTCCCCAAATACCATGTACTTGCCATCCAGCCAATCCGTCTTGTCACACGTCAGGAAGAACTGGGAGCCGTTGGTGTTGGGGCCGGAGTTGGCCATGGAGAGCAGGCCTGGGTACCAGGGGAGGGATGCGCAGGTCAGTCCCCTCCCCCATGCCAAGCCGACTCTGGGACGCAGGTACCATGCAGGTGCCTGTCCTCCACTCCACGGATAGTCCACGGGACGGGAAGCAGGGTTGCTAACACTTTACATTGGTTTGTCCTTCCTGTGTCACTTACTCAACAAATACTGCCTGCCTGCACTCTGACCAGACCCCTGTTGAGCCTTGGAGACAGGGTCCCGGCTGTGGGGGAGCTCAGTCTAGAGCAAGTCACTCAAAGACAACCGTGCTGTGACAGGGAAGCCAGGGGCAGACAGCTGCCCAGGGAATGGAAGCGCAGGGGCAGTCACACGGGGGCCTCTGAGTGTGTCACATGGGCTGGTGCCACCATCACGGGAGACTCTAAGGGGGGGGAGGGGCACACACGTCTGAGTTTAGTCTAAGGGCCCAGGTTTGGGGGCTGAGGGGCAGCAGGAGCAGCTGCAGCCCGTCTGTGGTGGTGAGAAAGCCACTCTGCACAGCGGGGCCTCGGCACCCTGTGCTGCCTGGGGGTGGGGCCGTGTCCCGTCCCCGCTCAGCAAGGCTGCAGAGCAGGGTGTCTGACACGGAACAGACCAGCCCCGTGAGCACTGTGTCCGATGGTCAAACGTTTACTGTGGGTTTGCTGTGGGTCAGACGCTGACACAAGAGTGAAAAATATCCCACACCCTGTGCTCACGAGGCTGCCATTCTCAGGGGGGAGACAGAAAACAAGCAGAAAAAATAACCTTACAGTTGCAGGTAGTAAGGGTGTGGCAAAAAAAAAAAATGAAGCTGACTCAAAAAGACGAGTGAGATGGTAGGAAAGCCCACTGGAGAGGGAGACCAAGGCAGGCCCCTCGGACAAGGGGACACATGTGTGGCACCCGAAGGGAGGGAGGGGTGGCCCTGCGGACACCGGGGAAGAACGCTCCAGGGAGGAATCAGCAGCGGCCAAGGCCCCGGGGGGAGTGAGCTGTGGGTCTGAGGAACAGCAAGCCTGCGGGGGGACGCAGAGGACGGAGCTGCGTGTCAGCGGGTGTGGGGAGGTGCCAGGCCTGGGTGGGTTGGCCCTGCTGGACCAGATCCTATGGGCGATGTGCCCCCAGGAGGACTGTCCGCAGACAATGGGACTGGGTTTCCATATGAAGGACCGCTCTGGCTACCTTGACATTAGACTACGAGGGGCGGGAGGCGAGAGTGGCGCCGGAGGTGAGCTCGGAGGGCCCTGGCGGGGAGGAGGGCGCAGGGTGGTCTGGCCTGGCGGTGACTGGAGACAAAGGGCTCTGACGTGCTGGAGGGCTGGTGATGGAGGGCTCAAGGGTGGGTCCCAAAGGTCTGACTCCTCCGCCAGATGGACGGTGGAGTCACTGACTGAAACAGCAAGAGGGGAGGAAGAGTGTGGGGTGAAGAGCACGGGGGTGTGTGAAGAGCAGCAGAGACATGCTTGCCAGCCCTCAGACCGGAACTATGCCTGGGCTGCTGGTTCTCAGTGGGGTCAGTCCCACCCTTAGGGGTCCTTCAGAAATTTAAGTGTTTTTGATCATCAGAAATGTTATGGGGTACTACTGGCATTACTTGGGGGGGGGGGGCTGAAATGCTAGGTGTTCTGCAATATCCCACTTAATGAAAAACTGTCCCATGGCCTGCCAGACAAGAGTGTGGAAGATCTGTTTACAATGATCTGCCCCTACAATCTCATTCCATTACGCATTTAAGCCCACAACTGAAGGGATGAGATTGTGTAGGGCAGGGGTTATATGCAGGGTAACACTGCCCCCTGGAGGCTGCTTAGAGACTTCAAGGCATGTTTTTGATCCATGATATTGGGGGCACCACTGGTATGAGTGGGAAGGAGCAGGGAATTGAGATGTCCTGCAGTGTTCCGCCCAATGAAACACCATTCTAAGTCACCCTGGCTGGTGTAGCTCAGTGGATTGAGAGCGGACCTGTGAACCAAAGGGTCACCGGTTTGATTCCCAGTCAGGGCACATATCTGGATTGCAGGCCAGGTCCCCAGCAGGGGATGCATGGGAGGCAACCACACATTGCTATTTCTATCCCTCTCTTTCTGCTCCCGTTCCCCTCTCTCTAAAAATAAATAAATAAAATATTTTTTAAAAAAGAGTTATTCTAAGTCCATGTAGACTTTATGCCTGGGCAAACATTCATGTATGCAGAATTTTCCCCTCAGTACCCGTGGTCCATTTCCCAGGGGTTACCTATTACTGATGATTGTTGTATTTCATATTTTCATAAATATTCATAATGACCCTTTTACCCGTAATCCTTTTAGTTTATCTAGTCTTTTAAATTTTTATTCTTTTAAGTATATTTATTGATTATGCTATTACAGCTGTTTCATTTTTTCCTCCCCTTTATCCACTACCCAGTACCCTGCACCCTCCTTCCCTCTAGTATTCCCTCCTCCTTAGCCCATGTCCATGGGTCGTACATGTAAGTTCTTTGGCTTCTCCATTTCCTGTACTATTCTTACCCTCCCTGTCTACTTTGTTCCTACCATTTATGCTACTTATTCCCTATACCTTTCCCCCCATTCTCCCTGCTCCTCCTCTCCACTGATAACCCTCCATATGATCTCCATTTCTTTGTTTTTTAGGTCCCATTGTTGTTGTGTTTTTTATTTTTACTGTTCATAGTTTTGATCATCTTCTTTTTCTTAGGTAAGTCCCTTTAACATTTCATAAAATAAGGGCTGGATGATGATGAACTCCTTTAACTTGACCTTATCTGAGAAGCACTTTATCTGCCCTTCCATTCTAAATGATAGCTTTGCTGGATAGAGGAATCTCAGATGCAGGTCCTCGCCTTTCATGACTTGGAACACTTCTTTCCAGCCCCTTCTTGCCTGCAAGGTTTCTTTTGAGAAATCAGCTGACAGTCTGACAGTCTGATGGGGACTCCTTTGGAGGTAACTGCCTGCTTTTCTCTTGCTACTATTAAGATTCTCTCCTTATCCTCATTGGGTAATTTAATGATGATGTGCCTTGGTGTGTGCTTCCTTGGGTCCAACTTGTTTGGGACTCTCTGAGCTTCCTGGACTTTCTGCAATTCTATTTCCTTCACCAGATTGGGGAAGTTTTCCTTCACTATTTTTTCAAATAAGTTTTCCATTTCTTGCTCTTCCTCTTCTCCTTTTGGTACCCCTATGATTTGGATGTTGGAACATTTAAAGTTGTCCCAGAGGTTCCTAAGCCTCTTCTCATTTCTTTGAATTCTTGTTTCTTCATTCTGTTCCAGTTGAATGTTTATTTCTTCCTTTTGTTCCAAATCATTGATTTGAGTCCTGGTTTCCTTCCCGTCACTGTTGGTTCCATGTACCTTTCTCTTCATTTCATTTTGCATTGCCTTCACTTTTTCCTCTATATATGACCATATTCAGCCATTTCTGTGACTATCTTGATTATCAGTGTTTTGAACTCTGCATCTGATAGTTGGCTGTCTCTTCATTGCTTAGTTCTGTTTTTGGAGCTTTGACCTGTTCTTTCATTTGGGCCATATTTCTTTGTCTCAGCACAGCAGTTACCTAGTAAGGGGCAGAGCCTTAGGTGTTCACCAGGGCGGGGCCACCCAATTTGCTGCATTGTGGCACCGTCTGCGGGGGAGGGGTCCAAGTGGGAACAACACTTGCTTGGCTCTCTCCGGCTTTCAGTCACTTCCCTCACTTCCTACGAGCAGACTGTGTCCTGGCAGGTGCTGTTTACCTGGTGGGTGGACTTGCGTACATTCTGTTCTACAGGCCACTCCAATGGACTCTCCTGTGAGACTGGGAGTTTCTCCCGCTGCCATAACCTCCACAGGTTTTACAGCCAGAGGTTTTGAGGCTTTAGTTTCCCACACTGGAACCCTGGGCTGTGTGGTCTGTCTTGCTCCCCCAGTGTTCCGGCCGACTGATCTGCATGTGAATGTGGGGTATCCCGGTCCGCCAGCCACAGCCTTGCTGCTTGATCTCACCTCCCCAGCTTCCCGTCTTGCCTGGCTGCCATCTCCACCCCTCTTACCGGTCTGGATGAATCAATCTTTAAGTCCTTGGTTGTCAGACTTCCATATAGCTCGATTTTCTGGCAGTTCTGGTTGTTTTTTGTTATCCTTCTTTTCATTGTGTGAGGAAGCAACGTGTATCAACTTATGCCTTCATCTTGGCCGGACTCAGTCCAGCCTTTTTAAAATGCTTATTACAGACATAATTGTATATAGTTTTTCAAAAAATCACTCTATGAAACTTGTTGTAAAACACAGAATTCTTCTGCTCCCCCAATACCAATTTCCTGCCCTGCCAGAGGTAATGTTTATTTCTTTCAGGTGATTATTTTGGTGATTATATCTCAGAATAATACATTCATGTTACCACTACTTGATTCCCCCCCCAGTTTTTGGCTATTTTTGGTCATTTTTTCTGGTAAACAGACTCATGGGGATTTGTACGAAGTTAGGATAGGTGATGAAATGTAAATATGGCCTGAAGATTAGTTTCGATTAGTGTTGTATAGATGTTAAATTTCCTGATTTTGATAGCTGTAATGAGATTAGTAAGGGCATATTTTTCTTCTCAGGAAATACATACTGAAATATTTGCGGTCAAAGGACATGTCTTCGACTTCCTCTCAAGTGGTACAGAAGAGTAAAAATGTATGTATACAAATAAGTGATAAAGAATAGGGGCCCTGGCTGGTGTGGCTCAGTGGACTGAGTACCAGCCTGCAAACCAAAGGGTCATTGGTTCAATTCCCAGTCAGGGCACATGCCTGGATTGTGGGCCAGGTCCCCAGTAGGGGGCATGCGAGACGCAACCACACATTGATGTTTCTCTCCCTCTCTTTCTCCCTCCCCTTCCCTCTGTCTAAAACTAAATAAATAAAATCTTAAAAGAAAAAATAAAATAAAACCCAACTGGACAGTAGTTGAAATATTTTATAACTCTCAACTGCTTATTCTTTCTAATGGTCCTAACTCTTTACAGAGCTTCAAAAACACCTGCTTTGCCTCTTTTGGTACTAGCTTCTGGGATCCAAGATGCCTCCGGTGGACTCAGGTAGAAACAGTGTCAAGGATGCAGCAGCTTCCTCCTCGGCTTGATTAGCCACCAGCCTCCCAGCAATCCTGACAGGAGCCCTACTCACCTGTTGTCATGGGAACAACATCAGAATGCAGGAGCATCTGGATGCGGCCGGCTGGCTTGTTCCTGATCTTGATGTCCATGTACACCTGAGGATTGGAGCGGGCCTTTTTTGCAGCGGGCTCTCCCTGGGTGAAGAAATCGCTCGGTTAGAGAGAACTCCCTGACTCTCTGAGTGGGAGAGCGAGGATTCTTCTGCAACCACACCCAGAACCCGACTGCAGTGAGCAGGCTGCAAGGTGCCAACAGTGAAGGCCCAGCGCCCCGGTGAAGCTGCAGGAGGCAGAGGCCATGGTCACAGCACCCAGCTGGACACCCAGTGACAGGAGACCTCAGCACTATCTACCCCCAGCCCCACCCCACAGGCGCATTATCTCATCACACTCGTCCGCGGACACGTAGCTTGCTTCACCTCCTTGCAGTCACAGAATGACACTGCTCCGGGCACTTTCAAGCCCCAGCTCAAGCCCACCCACCTTACTCCGGTCAGATGGACCATAACCCTCTCCCTCTATGCCTAACCCTACATATTCACAGGACGGCTGCAATGCAACCAAGGAGGGTGGCGGTCTGCCTTGGGCTCTAGTGCTCAGGAGACAACGGAGGAGGCTGGGCCTTGCTTTATGCTCTAAATAGACAAGACTGACTAGATAAACAGAGCGTTCACTATAAACCCTCCATTTGTGCGATACAGAAAACGCCGTGGTCTCTGACGTCCCTGTAGTGTGGACAGGTCAACACCACACAGGTGCTGAACTCTGAGGCCAAGCACTGGGTTCCTCAGTGAGGAGGTGTGGCTCCTGCCCTTGAAGGACGGGCGGCCCAGCGGGGGAGGGGTGTTCCCAACTACGTGAGACACACACGCTACCGCGACACAGTCTAGCTTCCAGTCTTAGCTCCACAACTCACAGGCTGTGTCGTGTTCAACAAGTTATTTGACCTTACTGTGCCCCAGTTTTGTCACCCAGAATTGGGCATAATAATAGTGCTTATCTCAAAGGATTGTCAAACAGGAGCAAGCGTTCGTAAAGCACACAGAGCAGTGTCTGGCCGGGAGGAAGCAACATGTAAAGCAAGGCCACAGCAACTCGGCAAGTGCTCGGACAGAGGGCTCCGTGGAGTCCGGAGTCTGCACATGCCCAGAGGGACACTAACGCAACCAGAGGATTCAGTTTCTTGGAGAAGGCAGCAAGTGAGCGCAGCTATGGAAGGTCAGTACGAGTTAGCTAAATAAGTTGAAAAGATCATTTTAGGCAAAGGAACTGCCTGTACAAAAACATGGGAGATTTATAGGTAACCACACACTCTTGTTTTCTAGAATAAAAATGGGGATACAATGTGGAGAGAAGAGCAGGGTCGGAACACGGGGACCCCTCCTACCCCTCTGATGGAGTCAGTGGTCAGCCCTATAGATGCGGGATGCCTAGAACACTTAAGGGCGAATCATCAGAGCTGTGCTTTAGGAAGCTCCCACTAGCTTCTCACGACAGGAGGACACAGGCCTGGGGCAGAGACCAGGATCTCAGCACTCTCGTGAGAGAGGAGAGGCTCAGCCAAGATGTGGCAGGAGCCGCCCTGGCTGGTGTGGCTCCTTGGACTGAGTGCCAGCCTGCAAACCAAAGGGTCGCTGGTTTGATTCCCAGTCAGGGCACAGGCCTGGGTTGCCAGCCAGGTCCCCAGTCGGGGGTGTCTGAGAGGCAACCACATGTTGAGGTTTCTCTCTTTAAAAAAAAAAAAAAAAAAAAAGATGTGGCAGGAGCGAACAGGCAGAGAGACTCAGGAAGACTCGGCAGACACAATCAGCAGGCTGTGGAGGTGCACCAGGCATAAATTACAAGGGGGTGACACTGAAGTCCCTAGTTTGGGTGACTACGTGGAAGAGAGCAACACTGACTGAGGTCGGGTACCCGGAAGACCAGAGCGAAAGGAAAGGGAATTCACTTGGGATGTGCTTTGCTTATTTACGGGGACAGCGCGATGTTCAGGCAGAAATACGTGAAACCTGAGAGAGTGGTCAGGGTTAGGACCAGAGACCAGAACAGCGAGTGGCTGTGGTAACCTCTGATGGGAAACACGGCTGAAACTGCCCCACGGACAGTGTGGAGAGGGGCTGAGGCCTGAGGAAGGAACTCAGAGACCCCACTGTTCCGAGGGCGGAGAGGAGAAGCACGGGTCGGGACAATGTGTCAATAGGCAGAAGGAAGCACCACGGCAGGGAGCGGCCGCAGCCTGGAGCAGACTGAGGGGAGGGGCTCCTCTGAAACCGGGATAGGAACAGACGACAGTATGACCTGGCCCCGAAGTCTTCAGGGAGGGGGCGGGAAAGACGAGAAGGTTGGTGGATGCTGGTGATAAGGGACACCCACTGTCCTTCCTCATCCAGACATCCCCCTTGCTCCACGGCAACACAAGCCCCCAGGCACACCTGGAGCCTGGCCAGGACTAGAAACCCACGGCTCCTGCATCTGGCTCCCCCATCACCACCCACAGCAGAAGCTCATGCCTTCAATCTCGCCGTCCGCATTTCCGCTTTGGGAGGCTCTGACCCCTCTTCTTCTGTATGCGCTTCCAGAGTCTTCCCAGGGAACTTCTCTGACTAGTCATCGCCCGACCAAACTGGAGGGAAATGACCAAACTGGAGGGAAATAACCAAACGGTGTCAAGAGATTCAAGCCATCGGCCAACTGCTAACAAGCCACCTGGGTCAGCCGAGGGAGGGCACAATTGGTGTGTGTGACCCCCGTCACAGGTGGAAGTTACCTCCGAGGGGCTCCCTGGGCAAGGACGGCTGTCGCTGGGCAGAATCTGGCCCTCAAGTCCAGGTCTCGCAGAGGCGGATGAGAACAAGGAGGGACCAAGGTGAGCAAAAGGGAAGTCCCACCCTTGTCAAGGAGGGAAGGACACAGTCCATGTCCATGTCCCAAAGCAAGACATCCGTTGGGACAGTGACTCCAGCTCCGCCGAGAGCCTGCTCTCCCCACTCCAAGCCACGCTGTCCAGGCACAAACTATTGCCACGATGGGAAGGACGCTGGCCCCATTCATCTGGTCTGGAAGAGCCTTCCTTAGTTCCCACACTGGTTTGGGCAAACTGACACAAACCATCCTCCCAAAAAGTTCAGGCTCATTCCGAAAAGACTGCAATACCACTCGGCTGCTTAACCCTTGTGAGTCAGATGAATGCCTGCCATTTACCTCTAAGAAGTCTTAGACTTGCTCATGATTGATTCTACACTGCCAGCCCGCATCCTCTCCCCACCCCTTCACTGCCAGCTGAGCACAAAGCTAACCATAAAAAGTTCCTGAGCCACCACGCACTTCCCTTTTCCCAATAGGAAGGTCTTTTCTGGCATAATCTTTGGAACTGAAATTATAAGGGTAAATGCAGTTACTGGGTTCTGAGTCCACCTTAAAAGTCAACAGCAGAGACTTCTGGCAAAGATGGAGGTGGAGGTAGATACACTTTGCCTCCTCACACAACCAAAAGAAGGACATCAACAAATTTAAAAGCAAAAAAATAACCAGAACTGCCAGAAAATCGAACTGTATGGAAGTCCAACAACCAAGGAGTTCAAGAGGAAACAGTTCATCCAGACTGGCAGGAGGGGCGGAAACGGGCAGCCAGGAAGGAGAGGGTGCGCAGTAAGGCAGCAGCTGGCGGGCTGGGGTGGGCAAGGCGGCGGCTGGCGGACTGGGTGGTCCCACATTTGCATGTGGATTATCCTGCAGGAAAGAGATAGACAGCACAACCCAGGGTTCTAGCACAGGAAAACAAAGCCTCAAAACCTATGGTCAAAAAAACCTGTGGGGGTTGCAGCGGCAGGAGAAACTCCCAACTTCACAGGAGAATTTGCTGGAGTGACCCACAGGGTCCTAGGACGTACACAAACACGCCCACCCAGAATCAGTACCAGAAGGGCACAATTTGATTGTGGGTATCGGGGGAAGTGACTGAAAGCCAGCAGAGAGCTCCTCAGCTCTGGGAACAGCAGCACTGTTCCCTCTTGGACCCCTCCCCCACAGACAGCACCACAATGCAGCAAAGTCAGTGGCCCCGCCCTGGTGAACACCTAAGGCTCTACCCCTTACTAGGTTACAGCTCCACGGAAACAAAAAAATATGGCCCAAATGAAAGAACAGATAAAAGCTCCAAAAACAGAACTAAGCAATGAAGAGACAGCCAACCTATCAGATGCAGAGTTCAAAACACTGATAATCAGGATGCTCACAGAAATGGCTGAGTATGGTTGTAAATAGAAGAAAAAGTGAAGACAATGCAAAATGAAGAGAAAGGTACATGGAACCAACAGTGAAGGGAAGGAAACTGGGACTTAAATCAACAATATGGACCAGAAGGAAGAAATAAACATTCAACCAGAACAGAATGAAGAAATAAGAATTAAAAAAATGAGAAGAGGCTTACGAACCTCTGGGACAACTTTAAATGTTCCAACATCCAAATCATAGGGGTTCCAAAAGGAGAAGAGAAAGAACAAGAAATGGAAAACTTATTTGAAAAAATAATGAAGGAGAACTTCCCCAATCTGGTGAAGGAAATAGAATTGCAGAAAGTCCAGGAAGCTCAGAGAGTCCCAAAGAAGTTGGATCCAAGGAAGAACACACCAAGGCACATCATAATTGTATGATCAGAGACTAAACAATCTTAAAAGCAACAAGAAAAAGGGAGACAGCTACCTACAAAGGAGTTCCCACAGGATTATCAGCTGCTTTCTCAAGAGAAACCTTGCAGGCAAGGGGCTAGAAAGAAGTATTCCACGTCATAAAAAGCAAGGACCTACATCCAAGATTGCTCCATCCAGCAAAGCTATCATTTAGAATGGAAGGGCAGGTAAAGTGCTTCCCAGGTAAGGTCGAGTCAAAGGAGTTCATCATCACCTAGCCCTTATTCTATGGAATGTTAAAGGGACTTATATAAGAACAAGATGATCAAAACTATGAACAGTTAGCCCTGTGGTTGGTGTGGCTCAGTGGATTGAGCACTGGCCTGCAAACCAAAGGGCTGCCGGTTCGATTTCCAGTCAGGACACATACCTGGGTTGGAGGCCAAGTCCCCAACAAGGGGCACATGAGAGGCAACCACACATGGATGTTTCTCTCCCTCTCTTTCCCCCTCCCTTCCCCTCTCTAAAATAAATAAATAAAATCTTTATGTAAAAAAAACTATGAACAGTTAAATGACAATAAACTCACAACTATCAACAACTGAACCAAAAAAAAGGACAAAAAAACACACAAAGTATACAACAGGGATAAAATTACAGAAATGGAGATCACGTGGAGGGTTACCAGTGGGGAGGAGGAAGGGGGAGAATGTGGGGAAAGGTACAGGGAATAAGAAGCATAAATGATAGGTACAAAATAGACAGGTATGGGTTAAGAACAGTATAGGAAAAGGAGAAGCCAAAAAACTTACACGTACAACCCATGGACATGAACTGATGAAGGGGAATGCAGGTGGGGGGATCGTGTAGGCCGGAGGGGAATAAAAAGGGGAAACATGGGACACCTGTAATAGCATAATCGATAAAATATATTTTAAAAAAAGACAAGATCAGCACTGAACTGGAGAAAATGGGATTGCTAACTGCTGAAACACGTATTTCATAGAAGAGTAACAGAGAACACAGAATGAAGTATGGAATACTTCACAGTCCAAGAATAAGGGATACCAAAGCCCCCCGCCCCCCAGAAGATGGCAGCAGCCAGAAAAGATGAGTTACTCCGGCAGCGGCTCCCCAAGCTCTTTGATATCAGCAAGCAGCTTCTGGGCAAAGCGGAAGTAGCCGCTGAGCCCACCGGTTCCTGGAGAAATCCAAGAGGAGGTGTTGAAAGGACTGCACCTCCTTAAGAAAGTGCTGAAACGTTATCCCAGCTCGACCTGCTCAGCCAAAATGAAGACGTAAAGAGACTGTTCCCACCCACCTGAAGTACCAGCTAGTGCCGGCATTTCATAGAGCGCTCACCACGAAACAAGTCAACCCCACTGATACTAGGAAAGGGTAGATGTTTTTAAAGGTTTGTTTTGGACCTTTTCGTGAACATTTAAAAACATGTGAAATAAAATTCCAGGTTACATTTATAACTATACCTTGTTCTTAGAAACAAAGATGGGTAAGGTACTATTTTTATTTCCAGCAATTAAAAAAAATTGAAAGACAGCATGAAATGACTTCCTTATTTCATACTTAGTCATGAACACTAATCACAAAGATTTTTTAAAAAGATTTTATTTATTTATTTCTGGGGGGGGGAGAGAGAGAGAGACAGAGAGAGAGAGAGAGAGACAGAGAGAGAGAGAGAGAAACATCAATGTGTGGTTGCTGGGGGCCATTGGCCTGCAACCCAGGCATGTGCCCTGACTGGGAATTGAACCTGCGATGCCTGGTTCGCAGCCCATGCTCAATCCACTGAGCTATGCCAGCCAGGGCACAAAGACTTTTTTAAAAATAGCCAAACATTGAAGGGTTTTGTGGTAGGCAAAATTATGCCCCCTCCCCCAAGATGTCCACATTCTACTCCTTGGAACCTGTGAATATACTTATTATAGGGCAAGAGAGAATTAAGTTTACAGATGGAATTCAGGTTAGCCAGCTGATCTTAAAGTAAAAATATTAACCAGGATTATTTGGGTGGGCCCAACATAACCACCAGGATCTTCTGCACGTGAAAAGGAAAGCAGAAGAGTGAGCTCCAGAGTGACACAGAGTGAGAAAGACATGCCTGCTCACCGCTGGCTTGACAATGGAAGGGGCCAGAGTCAAGGAATGAGGCCAATCTCTAGAAGGTGGGAAAGGTAAAGAAACGGACTTTCTGCTGCAGCCTCCGGAAGGAACACAGCCCTGTCGACACCTTGATTTTAAGCTGGTGACGTCCATTTTGGACTTTTGATGTCTTGAACTATAAGATAACACATTTGCATTGTACAAGCCACCAAATTTGTGGTGGTTTGTTTGTTGGTGATTTGTTTGTTATAGCAGCAATAGGAGTTCAAATAATTTTCTTTTAAAGCACCCAACCTGTCATAGAGGTTTTCTCCTCCTCCTCAGTTATTGATTGGGTTACCTTCACAAGGGCCTCACTTTTTACACTAGAACCAAAAACAGCAGTTTTCCATAATCACATTCAGATACTTCATGAAATCCTGCCTCTTGTGCAAGATTCACAATTTTACTTTGCAATCAACGTACACTCTATTTGCAGCATATTGTCCTAGACTAAAAGTCAACACATTTTCCGAAATAGGTTAGAGAGTAAATATTTTAAGCTTTGTAGGTCACATATAATCTCTGCTGCATATTCGTCCCCCGCATTCCGCAACCCTTTACAAATACTACCACCACTTAGTACACAGGCCATATAAAAGCAGGCTGCACAACGGCTCTGGCCCATGAACTGGAGCTTCCTGGCCTGATATAGATACGGAATGGTCAGGGAAGACTGGCCAACAGACTGACAGATGGCTAATATTTATTCAAATGTGAGGTGGGGAGAATATCTAAGTAAGAATTAGTTTTATAGTCGGTTCATGATGAACACTTTCAAATAACGACAGCTTTAGTAAAAGGCAAAGATTCTCGGCCATACCATGCTGTCTGTAGCTGCTGCAGTATCCTGCCCTCCCTCCAAAAAAGCTCACATCTGCAGTTTAACTCTTCTTGTAGTTAGCACTTACATACCAGTGGCACAAGCACAAGAAAAAAGACATATTTCTCCTTCCTAACCACCTAGACTGTATGTACCTACTTAACAAAGAACATATACTAACTGCTTGTTAGAGCTGGGGGTACACCATCACCCCATGCCCAGGTATGGAGACAGAGAGCACACACCGGAAACAGGAACTAGCAATGCCAGGTCAGAGGGCTCTGCAGGACCTGCTTCCACACTCTGACTACATGAGGCAAACTCCAAACCGGAACTTCCTATCTCTTGGCAACTGTCAACACCGAACCATTGTAGAGTGTTGAACAGTATCCCCTGAATTTCACATCTACCCAAACGGGGTCTTCATAGAAGTCATTAGTTAAGATGAGGTCACACTGGATAAGGGTGGGCCCTAAATCCAATGAGTGGTGTCCTTATAGGAAGAGAAGTCACAGAGAGACACACGCAGGGAGGAAACCCATGTGAAGACAGGGGCAGAGAGTGGAGTGATGCAGTTACAAGCCAAGGAATGCCAAGGACTGCCACGAGCCACTGCAAGCCATGAAGGAAAGGACTGTCTCTAGAGTACTCAGAAGGAGCGAGGCCCTGCCAACACCTTGACTTCAGATTTCCAGCCTCCAGAGCTGTGAGAATAAATTTCTTTTAAGTCACCAAGTTTGTGGTAATTTGTTATGGTAGCCCCAGGAATCTCCTATCCCCACACAAATGGAGAGTGGCACCTTTTGTAACCAATGACAACAGCGACACTAGTCAAACAGAAAGCACTGAAAACTTACCTCTGCAAACTCAAATTGCGCAAAAGTACTTCTCTACAATAGCAGAAATGGGTAGTTAATTACGTGGGCAAAGGGAGGAGGCAGGGCATATCCCAACACCATTTAAAAAGCAAATAATCTAATTTTAGATTTTCTTGGTTTAGTTAACCAAGTTAACCTTGGTTTAGTTAACAGTGCCTCCAGAAATATTAAAATCACTTTAAGTTACTATAGCTAAATAGTGACTATGTATTATCCGATTCCACCACTACATAATTTAAACCTTGAGTTACTTTCCAAGCATTTTGATAACCTTTGTTTACAAGACTTATAGAAAGTAGAAAAAAAAATGTTGCTCTAGCAATTATTCATCACAATTGAGCATTAACTACATACAGAGCGCTGACCTTACTACTGAGTTAGGTAGCTACTAGAGACCAGAGCACAGATATTTTAGTTGGCGGAACAAAAGCAATAAGAGTTACTAATTTACAGAATGCAAAGACAGAAGGGCCCCCAAAGGCCAGTCTTACCACTTTATTTAAGAATTGAAGAGCTTGTGCCCTGATTGGTGTGGCTCAATTGGTTGGGTGTCGTACTGCAAAAGGTCACCGGTTCAATTCCTGGTCAGGGCACATGTCTGGGTTGTAGGTTCGGTCCCTGGTCGAGATATGTACAAGAGGCAGCCAATCGGTGTTTCTCTCCCTCTCTTTCTTCCTCCTTTCCTCTCTCTCTAAAAAATGAAAAATAAATATTTTTAAAAAACTGAAGAACGTAAGGCTCAGAGAGTTTGTCGCACACAAAGTTAGTAGTAGAGCTGGGTCTAAAACGCCTGTCTTAAAAATAGAACCAAGAATTATACCAACTGAAGGAAAACTCACCCAGGTAAGCAGAGGCCAACATTCCATTATCAAGGCTAAATTTCCTTGCTGACCTCTGCTTTTTAAAGGCACAGCTGCTAAGGAGGGAGGTCTGGTAAGTAGATGTGGCGGGGGTTCAGCGACCCAGCAGGTGATGTGAAACAATAATGAGACCTTCCAAGATTTTTCAGACTATCTTCATACTGATTACTACAGTTTATATAGTAAATGAACAGAAATCAAAGCCCCCAAATGGTTCCAACATGGAGAAAGCCTTTCTTCAAATCCAACAAATTGTCAATCTCTGCCAATTTCAGCCTGTAACTATACCACCATCTTGGCTTCGTTATCCTCTAAACATTCCTTTTACATCACCAGGAGTAGTGATGGTGACCTACACAGATATCCTCAACTTCATTACATACCAAACATATACAGAATGCACATGACTTATTGTTTTTTTCCAAGTTCTTTCCCTGGAATTAGGAACCTAAACATGAAAGACACCAAAGACTGATCTGTTCCATAATCCAGTGGAATCTAATTATCTGTGATGTCTCCAAAAGGAATGAAAGCAGCATAAAGAACTTTGTTGTCCACCTCCTCTGTCAGCCCACCAAGCTCTTTCTGCACTAATGTCCTCCACACTCTTGAAGACAGCCATAGGGAGGAAAAGGAGGGGTCCCTACAGTCCTTTGAGTATACGAAATGACTTCTCCCCATCCTCTCTAGGCCGACATCTAGCCTCTGTGATCGCTTCCTAAACGGGCCCACCATCTCCAATCTCTCTCTCCTCCATACAGACACTAGAATAATTCCAAAGAACCCCACAAATCAGATCACAATACTGCCCTCCTTAATAATGCCAAAAAGCTCACCAGTGCCCACAGGACAAGTCCAAATTCCTTAGCACAGCACTAAGACCTTCATAACCTGAGCCCTGTCCACCTCTCGGGCCTCTTTTTTCCCTTGCTTCACCAGTGCCAACTATTTGACTCCAAGTGCTAGACTTCTTCATACCTCTGCGCTTTTGCTCGTTACTCTCCATTCAGTCCAGCACCTTGCTCCCACTTGGATGCCTAACTCCTGGCCTCTCAAACCTAGCTCTGGCCGGAGCGCACCCGGGATGTTTGCCCTCATCTTTCCAGGCAGAGTGGTCATTCCTTGAAATCCCTACCCCGACCCTGTTCAAAAGCCAAAGATACAATTGCATCACAGTGCTCACCAACCAGCACAGTGACGCTGTTTCCACAATTCCCCAGCCATTCTGGGAACACCTTCATCTAAAGAACTAGGGTCGAGAGTTTGGGATGGCGTCCGAACCCCAACATCTCACCACCTGTCTGGGCACCGGACCGGAGGAAAATAGGCTTTGGGCAGTGCCAGGACCAGCAGAGCCATCAGGTAGCGAGCACGCGCCATAAGCCGCGGGGATAACGCCCCATTACGTGACCCGGCCGTAGACGCTGCGTGCTGCGTGCCGCGTGCCTGCGTGCCTGCGTGCCGCCTGGGGCCAACCCCAATCACGATTCAACCAAGGCCTGGCCAGTGAAAATCCTCGGCCGCCCCGTGCCACCGCCTCTAGGTGGCAGCCATATTGCTGCCTGGCTCTTCCGCCGGAAGTGCGCTCCCGCGCCGCCACACGCCACGCCCCCTCAGGCTAGCGCAGCTGTTGCACCAACCAGGCCCTGCCACTGGTAGGTGTGGAGGCGTAGTCAGATAATAGAAAACATGCACGCACAGCCGCATCAACTACGGTCGTCAGAAAATGGAGGAATCTATTGTAGATAGGGCCAGGCCTTAACGAAAAGGGGAGCCGGCCAAAAGGAAGGGCGTTCCGAATAAAGGGACTATGTGGGTAAGGCCCTAAGGAAGGACAGCCTGCCAAGCTCAAGACAGAAAAGGGTTCCTGGAGGGCAGATAGACTGTTTGACCTTGGCCAGGTTATAGTCGTTTAAAGGATTAAAGGAACCACGAAACATAGGACGTGAGCAATTGTTTGCTGCTGTCACTCTCACACCTATCTCCCAAGCCCTGTTTCCACTGGCAGGGAAAACCCCAGTTGCAGAATCTGTGCAACTGGACCTGCTGAGCTGCATGCAGAACTGTCATAGGAGACAGAAAAGACTGACAAACCATAACCAGCACGTCCCGGAGGGGAACGGGGGCAGGATCTATACATCTCTCTTATGTCCCTCAGAAATGTGCCAACCCTGTATCAGATCCAAGGCCCGCTCTGATCAGACTCCTACCCGCTTAAGGTAAATGGGAGTCTCAATACAAAGTCCTCCCATAACAGAATGCAACAGTTCTGCACACCTAGGTAATCCAGCCAGGAAGGGATAAAGTATATAGAACTTCCTTTGACCCTATTTACATCCTAAAATTACTTCCAGTGAAAGAGACTTCTAGAAAACTGTGTGGTCAGAGTAAAACATAAGACAGAAGCAGTTTTATGGAGGTTTTTTCTTTATTCAGAAACTTAAGATGTGGGTACATCAAATAAAACCAATTTTGGGAGGCGGGGCAAAAATCAAAACCCACAATAGAAAGAAAAAGTCAACGCTGTCTGAGCCATGGCAGAACCCAGAGAATATATTCTTTTAATTGAAAAATTCTAGGTGCTTCGTTAATTGACCTTTTGATACAAAATGACCTATTAAATTTGTAATTTGTGGTTCTTGATGTTGGAGTCCATAGGACAGACAAGCTAGGAAGTCTTCAAACCTTAAGCTGAATTTCATGAGGGGTTATTTGGCTTTTGAATCCTGAAAAGAAAAGCACCAACATAAACAACTGAAAGAACCTGAGATTCACTGAAATCTCGGCCTCAGTGCTGACATTTTGGCCAGGACAAAATTCTGTTGGGGCTGTCCTCCGCAGTGGACGAAGTTGAACTGCATCGCTGGCCTCTGCCCACTAGATGCCAGTAACACATTCCCAGTTGTGAGACCCAAAAATGTCTCCTGACATTGGCAAAATGTCCTTTGAAGGGGCACACCTAGTTGAGAACCACTTACTTTGAGGATAGCTACAGTCTATAAAGACTCACCCCCTACCCTTCCGGCCATCCTGTCCTCAAAAGTTTCTCCAGTTTTATGGTCTTCAACTCCAAATGACAAGCCACGGGGCCATCCATGGCCATGTGAGGTCGACCCTAACCTCCACGCCAGCTCTGGCCCTTACCACCTGCACTTTCCCCTGGACTGCGCCTCTGCTCATTCCGTTGTCTTTCTTCTTCAGTCCTTGTCAGGGGTCCTAGTTGAGTTGCACTCACCCAAATCCCCTGAAGACAGAGGCCATGGCCCCCCATGTCCAGAAGTCGACTGCAACACGCTGTGGCTGTAGTTAGGTGTGTGTCTCTCCCACTTTGACACACAGGCTTGTGTCTACCGTGTTCCCAGAGTTAAATAGTGCCTGTACACACAGCTGACCTCACCAATCTCAGATCAAACCAGGGAGATGTTCATAGAAATGAGGCTGTGGAATCTGATTATGACATACCTGTATATTCATTATTCCAGACCAAATACGGGATTCTTGAGAAAGTCTGGTTATAACCACCAGGAAAGAATAAGCTATATAGAACTGCTAACCAGGTACTCTTTATTGAGAAAACTGTTGTTTACTCCTTACAATTTATGACCTGTACTCTTTTCTCCATATTAATGTCCAGATGACAGAAAAAAAACCCAGAAGATGGCATGCCCAAGTTATCAGGTTAAATGGCAAAAAGCATGGCTCTATATATTGTCCCTAATCTTTTAGGAAGATATTATTCATGAGTGAAAACCACTGCAGAAAACAAAAACAGCCAAACGTACAGTTTTTCCTTGTCTAAGAGGTAGCAGCAGCAACAGCGCCCACCTTCTGGGCAGCTTCTTTCTTGGCATGATGAGCCTGTAGTACCGCCACAGCTTCATCCACCTGTGAGAAATCTCTAGGTTGTCAGTGACATCGAAGGAGAGCACCCAGCACTCTTCCCTGACGCCCAGGCCCAGTGATGGCTTCTCCTGGTGCTGACTGCTTTCTCAAACACCCACACCACAGCAGCTCCTTCTCTGTGCCATGCCTGAGGGTCCAAGACCAGCCATCCTCCTGGCCAGCTGAGCCCACCCATTTACCTTGGAGCGGAGAGACTCGGGGGACTCCAGCATGTGCAGCAGCTCGGAGTTGTCGATCTCCAGCAGCATTCCTGTGATCTTGCCAGCCAGGTTCGAATGCATGGTTTGGATGAGCGGGAACAAACGTTCTCCTGCAGGAAGACACTCAAGTAAAAACCAGGAAAGAACAGACACTGGTGTCCAGGTCAGTACTAGGCTCCGGCCCCCTCCTCTGCAAGCACGCGAGTCACTCACCCAGCATCTGCTTCTGCTCCTGGGGGGGTGCTGCGGCCAGCATGGAGGCGGTCAGGGGCTCCTGCCCCTGCACGTGGACTGCAGGCTGGGATGCCTGGGAACAAAGAGAGGCAGCTGGTTAGCACCAAGGAAAGGACTCTTGATGGTGATCAAGAGCCTGACCGTTCAACATCTGAAAGTTTACTGTGTGAAAGAGGAGGCGGAGATAGTTGCCCTTGCTGTCAAGGAATAACTGCAGCCTTGAGGGATGGAGAGAGCGAGGTGAGGAACAGTGGTGTGGGCGGAGAAACACAGCCAGCTACAAATGGAAGGGAAGTGAAATAACAAACCTGTGATGCTTGGAAATCATCTATTGAATTATTGTAATTTATTCAAGGTTAAATTACTCAAAGTTACCCAAGAATTTGAAACCTTATTAATAAATAAGGTACAATGAACATCTGTCTATAGAGCCTTTTCCTGA